GGGGGTGGGGGTGGTTCTTTCCAGTTCTGGGCAAATAGGGTTCACACACAGGGGTGTGAGGGGAAGGCTGGGTGGAAGAGAGAGCCTCCTACGGAAGCGATAGGAAAGAAAGGGGAGTCAGGCAAGAGGGAAGAAGCAGCGGTGCCGGCTCCACTACTGGCTGACAGCTACTCGGGCATTCTCTCACCATGGGAATGACATAAGATGATAAACATACTGCTGGCCCAGTGCCTGGAGTATGGCAACCGCTGTATAAGGAGCGCCTCTGCTAGGGTTGTGAGTACTGAAAAGCCTCCTGCTCGCCCTGGCTCGTCCACCTCGTGACAGGTACCGGACAGTGCACTCACATCCTAATATCCTTAAATCCTGATAACCAAGCTTGCAAAATGGATTTGATTATTCTCATCTTATGAGTGAGAAAATCACGGCTCTGAGGAACGATCGCACAGCTACGAAGCGGCTTAAACCCGGATTTCTCGGACCGCCGAGCTCACGCCCCAGGCTGGAGTTCCTTCCCAAGGGGAGAGTTAACAGGCTGCGGGCGACCCCCAGGTCTCGCCCCGGGGACGGGGCTCACCTTTGAAGGAATCAGGAAGCCGTCGGGCTTGGGCATCCGCTGTGTTTCGCTTCTCAGCCATGCTGCGGAAGCCGAAGAAGCCGCTCAGCTCTTGCTGTTGCAGAACTGGAGCCGCCTAGAATGTCTGCAGAAGCCGCGGGGCGCAAGACTCAGGCTGTATGAAGCCCCGCCCCCTGACGTAACCCCGCCCCTCTCCACAACTTGTGCAATCGACGCCGAGGAGCACGCCCCAGTCCGCCCACGCCCTCGGCGCCCGCGCTTCCAACCGGCGCTGCCGCTTGGGGGTCTCTTCCCACAGCCTCTACAGGCTGAGGGGCGAGGCCTGGCGGACAAAGCCCCACCCTACTTCCAAGGCGGGGTCGGGGCCTTGGGGCGGTACCTGAAGGAAAAAGTGGAGTTGGGCAAGGGCGTGGGCTAAGGTAGCTAGCGTAGGGTCTGAGAGAAAAAGTAGCAAATGAGGAAAAGGCGACCTTCAGGGTATAGGCTTTAGAACCATGCGCTTCCGGTGGGCAACAAATTAGAAGGAAAATGGCACCACCCTCTCAGGGCGGGGTAGAGTCCACGTTGAGAAGAGAAACTGAGGGGGCGCCGATGAGACCAAGGTGAGGACCTGAGGCCAGCACTGAGCTGAGAGGACAACGCCTAAGCACAATAGGAATTAAAGTGAGGTTCATTTATTCATACCTTGTGCCAGGCAGTGTGCTCGTTGTCGTGCATATAGCCAGCAAGGGATAGAAACGATGCCTGCCCTACTGGAGGCTATATGTACTATAGCCGGGAGACAGGCAAAGAACAAGTGAACAAAAATTATGCATGGCGAAGAGCATGTGAAGGAAACCGAGTGCTCAGAGAATAGATAGGAAGGCCTCTGTGAGGAGGTGGCTTTTGAGGTGTGCCCTGAAAGATGAGAAGGAGCCAACCTTGGACTCCAGGTGAGGGCAAGGCATATGCAAGGGTATTCCCACCTGCAAGCTTTCCGTCGGATTGTGGCTGAAAACTTCCCATTTGAAAATCATACTGTGTTTTATTCTATTAAGACTTGTCCCCATGCAGAATGTCCACAGTAAATCAGTGTGCACAAAGAGGAATACTTTTTTAAACATTTTTTTTTATTATTATTACTGGAAATACGAATAGAGTCACAGGAAGTTGCGACAGAGCTTTGAATTTCTTCCTGGTTCAGTCATAGATTGGCAGGAAACTGGGACTAACGGGAAAATTACTAGTCGATGCTCTAGCATAGGAGACTCGAAAGAGGCATAATGAACCTTTTCAGGAGCCTGATGTGGCAGATTACACGACTGCCAGGACGGGGGTGAGAATGAGGAGCTCTGGTGGTGTAGTGCCTAAGACACTTGACTGCTAACTAGAAGGCTGGCGGTTCAAACCCACCAGCCACTCCTTTCAAGGAAGGTTGGGCAATCTACTTCCCTAGTGATAGGAGCCACACCCAGCTATCATCTTTGAGCTGGGCACTGTTGTTTGAAATCTGCCAGTGGTCATGAGATTTGATTCCTATATGGTGCACACAGCCCTCGTTTTCTAAGAGGGAGCTTAAATTTCTAGCAAGGCATTAACACATAGTTTTCGCATTCCGGTTATTGTTCAAGGCACCCACATTTTGAAATTCCTATCCCACCTGGTTTCTCTTTGGTAGCCATGACTGAAGGGGGAAGAAATGGTTTGAAACCCTGAGTTGCAAAAACAGTAGGGAGAAGTCACATATCCTTCACATAGTTTCTTCCCAATAGTTACATCTTACTTAACTATCATTAGCTGCCTGTTGCTTTAGCCCCAATTCATGATAACTCTGCCTTTTGGCCACCACATGTACATACTAGAGTTGTTGTCTCGTTCTGTCCCCATGATTGGTTGCACTGTGATCCATAGTGCTTTCATTGGCCCATTTTTGGAAGTAGATCTCCAGACCTCTCTTCCTAGTCCTTCTCAGTCTAGGACATCAGTAGTTCAGTGATAGACTTCTCACCTTCCCTATGGGAGACCCCAAGTTCGGTTCCTGGCCAGTACACCTCATGTGCAGCCACCACCTGTCTGTTGGTGGTCTGTGTGTTGCTACGATGCTGAACAGGTTACAGCGGAGTTCCCAGACTACTTAACTTATGGTACAATATCAAAACCAGGAAATTGACAATGATGCAATATGTGTGTATAGCTATACCATTTTATCATGTGTAGATTCATGAAACTAACACCACAATCAAGCTACAGAGCTAGTGCATCACCATGAAGTCTTCCTTCTTGAGAACCACTCTTCCCTCTTTATACAGTCTTTATATATGGCTACACAACACTTAACACCTCTTGGTGATTCTTGTTGTTGTTATGTGCCTTGGAGTCGGACCCGACTCATAGCGACGCCTCCTTGGGTTTCTGAGGCGGTATCACTATGAAGTAGATTGCCCAACCTTCCTTCCAAGGAGCGGCTAGTGGGTTTGAACTGCCAGGCTTCTGGTTAGCAGTCAAGTGCCTTAGGCACTCAAATGGTAGTTTTTCCCTCTGGCTTCAGCTCTGGAGCACACACAATCATAGCAGGTGTTCCGAGCACAGCTAATCAGTTTTGCTGCAGGGACACAGGCTCTGATGTGTGATAAAAGCCTGGTGCAGAGCTCCCAAGTTGACTTCCAGTCACCTATGGAGCCAAGAACTGTTTTTCATTCCTGGGAGGTGGAGTACAGCTTGTGCAGTCGCTTAGTTTATTAGCCTTCTGGAGAAGATAAGGGGGAGAGTACAGTAATTTAATGAGAAGAGTCTCTCTAAATCTTGAAAAAGTCCACAGCTTCATTTTTTCCATTCCAAAACGAATAAGCCCCAGAGGCATGAACTTCCTGTTTATGATGTGGTTCCCAGTAAAGAGGAGCGAGTGCCTAAGAAGCTAATTAAACTTCTGTAGAGAAGGGTTGATTACAAACTATGTATTGTGAAAAAGGTGTTAGGACTCATTTTTGCTAGAAAGAGAAATGATATTTCAAAATGAATTAAAATGTCTCAAGTCTCAAGGCAATCCAAACAGCATCACTTCTGGAGAATTAGAAAAGAACCTCTCCCTTTGGGACAAAGACTTTGGTAAACACTTGTTGGCTCTAATTTCAGATTGCATCAGTCTAGGAGCTAATGCCAGGCCCCAAACTCAGAGAAGCTTTGACTTGATTTTTAAATTACGTTCAGAATGGATGAGAATTTCTAAGTTTTGATTTAAAAATGCTGAATTTCACTTGCCAATGAAACTAGTGTGTTCTAGCTTTCTCATATATTCTGTATAAATACATTCATTAAATGTACTTTTAAAATAAATACTAGTATATCACTCTCCTTTTGGGTACATTTGTGGTTCTAAATTTTGTTAGAATTGTTTTGGGGAACTTTATGCTTTAAAAATGAAAACTTATTATATGAAATTGCAAATAATTTGAAGAGAGAAGTAAGAGAATTGTTTATAACCTTAAAACCTCTAATAGAACTACTATTACAACTTTGGTGACTTTTGCCTCTAGTTATTTATTTTTTTAGTTTTAATTTTAAGAGCTTGTTTTACATTCAATGTCATGCGTACATTTAGTTTCCCTCTAGTTATTTTTTAATGGATAATTGTACTTAGTTAAAATCAGAGCATGTAGTCCATATTTCTTTTATGTTTTATTTTGCTGTGACTTGCATAGCATAGTCAGGGTACCAGATTAAGTACTGATCGATGGTGATAGTGATGATATTAAAACATGGAGATTGCTTTAAAGATAGACATGCACCATGAATCCATAATTGAGTAAGTGAGAAGGAAATTTAATTAGTCTTTTTCCTGTATCCACACAACCCACTGCAGTTGAATCAGTTCTGACTCATAGTGACCCTATAGGACAGATAGAATTACCCCATAGATTTTCCGAGGATGAAGTCTTTATAGAAGCATACTGATACATCTCTGGGTCAGCAGTTGAGCACTTAACCACTGTGCCACCAAGACTTCATTTTGTATCCAAATGCTTTAAAAAGCACAGTAGCCTAGTTAGCCTTCAGGCCTAGAATTGAACTCACTCCTATGGCTTTCAACCAAACAATAGACAGGCATATAGGGTGAACATTTATACCAGGTAGATCTACTCCTTAGATCACGGGGAACAGAAGGGCAGTACTTGCCCAGGGAGATAGCTCAGGGCAGGAAAGCATAGGAAAGGATACATGGAGGAGGTAAGTACAGGGAGGAAGTAGGCAGAAGGCTGTTGCATTGTGGGGACTGCAGTCAATGTCATGGAACAAAATGTGTGTAAACTGCTATATGGAAAATGAATTTGCTTTGTAAACTTTCACCCAAATCATACACACATGCACAGAAGGAACAAGGGGAAAATTCTGTTTTTTTTCCCCTCCTTTTCCTTTAACTTGCTAATCCAGGCTGTTTTCAATGTCTTCAGTGAAATAAGCTAACCAGACATCTTAAGGGAACAGCAGTCCCAGCAAGTAACATCTGCGATATTTTCTCCAGGGTGAAACTAACAAATTTGATCTATTCTTCTATGTACATTAATTCACATTTATTACATTACAGCAAGTTCTTCAGAAAATTACCCCAGGATTTGAACCACTATATGAGTTTCACCAGAGGACTTTGTAATTTGGGCTATCACAGAAGACCAGTTACACTACAGTCCCTGGTAAGAGCGCTAGGAGTCTCGGTTCTCAGGTCTTTGAAAAAGAAAAAGCATCATTAGTTCACTCAGTAAATATTTATTAAACACCTACTATGTGCTAGGAATTGTTCTGCACACTTGGGGTATATCAGTGAACAAAAAAGTGTGAAAATTCCCTCACCCATGGAGCTTACATGCTAGTATTTATTTTCACATATGAGTACAATATGTTGCTTGCCTTGCCTGCTTTTTCATACCCATATCCCTGAGACAGACAAAACCATTTATATTTACCTAAAAAATGTGTCCAGGCAACCTGTAATTATAAATTCTTTAGTAATTGCTTTTCTAGATATGATTCATTTTAATTAATGCTAAAAAGAAAGCCCTTGGTTAGAAAGCATGCTACTTG